TCTAGAAGGTGTTCCACTCTCCGAGCCCTCTATGCTATGCTAGGCAGGAGTGCATCCAATCGGTCCATTTCCCAGCCCAAGAGCAGGGCTCTTTTAAAAGCTTTACTCTCCAGAGGAGTCTCATGAGAGGCAACATCTTATCTCCAGAGGGATCATTAGATTTTGCAAGTGGTTCTTGATGCCTGGTTCACTGGGTTGGTACTTTGTCTTTTACCAAATTACCTCCCTCCTCTTCCCGTCCACTGGCTCTAACCTCCCCAAACACCTTGTTCTCATCTTCAAGACTCTGTACCCCCTCCCCTCCAGCTTACCTCTCTGCTCTAGTTTTCTTATATACCTTCTATACCTTCTCTGGCTTCCTCTGTTCCTAGTTTCTGACCAGCTGTTTTCCCCGCATCTCCTTTCAAGTAGTCTTCTATTCAAAGCAACCTCCAGACTGTCAGAAAGTGCCCTTCCTCCTTCAAAACTTGTTTTCACCATGGCCTCCTAGGCTGGTTTCCTCACTGATAATAACTGCACCTTTACCACCTGGCCATTATCTTATGCATCATCTCTGTCAGAGCAAGATGGCAATTGCTGTGCAGCAGGACTCTGACTTGAGCGCTGTCTAGGCGCGTTTGTACATGACACAGCATTTAATCCTCATTAATTTACCGCACCTTAAAATTTTAACCCGGGTTAATCTGGTGCGTCGCATTTGTGTTTGCATGACACGCTCTTTCAAGCGACTTAAGTCCCGTGTGTCATTCCCTGCAGATTGCAGAGCACCAAGTGCACTGATGTCACTTTACCCCGATCCACAACTACCAACCCATGTTCCATGCTACCATCTAGACTGGAAGTCACCAAGCCTGAGTATAACAGAAATCCCATCACACCCTTGTGTGAGATCCCATCTTCATTAGAGAAGCAGCCCAAGGAGCCACTGATAGCACAACTGTGCCCCATCCAGGTTGAAACACCCTTCTATTTCATACTGTATGGCAGGCCAAAGAGCATCCCAGAACCACGGCAGAGCCCTGCTCTTGCCAAGATTGTAGTGCTCTTTAGGAAGACTATTAGACCCAACACACTGCGTTCTAAATATGTAAAGATGCAACCATATTGTTGCTGGGCAGTTTCAACAAATGGGGCTTTTGGGAGGAGGGAGGGGTACACACACAGATCAAAAATCTGTACTCACCTTACCTCAGACTATAGCATGGATTTTTCACAAAACCCGCCCTCCCTACACTAGCCACTTGTTGTTGCCCTGCTCTCAAGAACCACACTTAATCCTGGCTCTAGCTAACACACTAGGATTAGCATGGTCTGTGAGTTCTCTGACTGGGGTCTCACCATCCCCTCCTGAATCTACAGCAAGGCTCCTAGCCAAAATCTTCCTCCAAACCCACTGCTCTCTCCCACCCCAAACTATCTCTAATAGCATCTGTTCTTTAACCAGTTCCCTATACACTAATAAACTGATCAGATCCATCAAACCTCTCTCCTGATAATCTAGACTATGTATCCCAGCTATAGAGTCCCTTGCTTAGTCTTTCAGTGTTCTGCTGAGGTTCTCGGCTTACTCAGCCCATGCCTAGCCCAGCTCCTTCCTTCTCCCAGCTTTCACACACACCTTCTAACTTTCCACTTTAATAAACTGAGCTGTGCTTTCATAGGCTCCCCTGAGGAACGGCCCTACCACAAGAGCCAGTCAGGTTTCCTGATCAATTGGGACAGCCGATTTAACACATTTCTCAACCACTGCAAACAATCAGCTGGAACACACTGTTAGCACCTTTCAAAACAAAACCCCAATTTAACCCAATCTGACCAAATCCAAAAAGACCTTGGATTTTTTAGTTGAAAGCACAAGTGCGTCAGGGGAGGGATGGATGAGCTATTGGGCAGCGCTGATCAATAGCCTATACTTTTTTGTCCTCGCAATAACTTTTTTCCAGATAAGCAAGTTGCGAAAATGGACAGTGAAGAAAATCGATAGATCATCCTTTTTGCTACAAATTAAAGAAGCCGTAATACTGAGAGAGTCCATACATAAGAGAATTCAGAGTAATGGGACATTTACTGGTATATTGGAATTGATCCTACTCTGGGTTGTACCCATGTTGATGTCAGCATGGTTTTTGGTTGCATACCTTCTCCGGTGTATTCATTAACAGGGCAAGGACTGCAAATAATTAGCTACTGTTATTCAAAAACCTTTGGTACCCTTCCTGGGCATGGCATTTTGCAACAGATAAAATATTGCTTTGGCAGGTGTGTCCCAGTAGCACTATTACATTGTCTTCCATGTGGAACAAAGTATGCAGTCTTGGGGAGAAATGCTGCATTGTACTAGCTGTGTTTATACGCGAGCCTTTCCTTTCTTTATTGTGTCCTTGCAACAAGGTATTTAGCAGAATTCATAGATTTGTTGGAATCCAACGGCTATGCGATGAGCGCTTCTGCCGTGGCCTTGAACTTGCACCCACTGGGTTGTCAACTGTGCGGCATTGTACCTGTACCGTACCAGCCCCTTATATGAAATTATTTGGAGGAGAAACAGCTTTAGGAGAGTTTACTCTTGTGGATTCTGATTAGAGTCAGTTCTTAGAGAACTCCCTTTAGTCACTGGGGATGGCTGAGATTCCCGGAAGAAGGGATCACTGTGCTTGTCATTTGTCCACCTCTGTTACAGGACTGGGGTATGTGTGTAAGTGAAACCAGTCACAGTTAGAACACACCAGCGCTCCACATCTCCGCTAGGAAGCTGACTTGCAAGACCCCAGACACCTGCTACTACCCAGCTGGCGCACTAGGACTGAAAGAAGGGATTTAATTTCATGGGCTAGGTGCTTAGCACCGCACAGGATAGTGAATAAGCACTGCCTGGCATATAGATATCGTCATTAGGACACTGTGCAGAATAGTGGCATTTGAAAGAACAGGGGTACCTGACCCCAATTAATGGGGAACCTTTTTTGGAACATAGAGTAAGGCCTGAAAGAAGGATGGGAGGGAAAGACAATGAGAACAGTCAGGAAGGAGATTTGGAGAGAGGACAGAGTGAGTCCTCTCTCCAAAAGGGGATGAGAGCAAACATAGAGGTCAATGAGGCAAATCAAGTGAGGACATAGCAGCAGGAGTGAGGACTCCTGGGTTCTCTCCCTGCCCCTGTGACCTGGAAGCATGACATTTTCCAGTGCCTCTATTTATCTTTCTGTAAGATCCTAATCTCCCCTTGAGTTTTCTATGGTGCCTATCACTGTAACACATAAATGGTTGAAAAGCATGCCTACTTCACAGCAGTCTCCTGGGGCTCAATTCATTCACATTGGTGCCATGCTTTGAGAGGCACTACTACTGTATAACAAACAGCAGGAACTACTAAGCCTCACAGCATCCAGAGAGATTCTTCAGAGAAGTATTATTTCCCCGTTTGAGAGATGTGGAAGCTGAAGCAAGAGCTGTTGAACCCAACAACGCTAGATAGTGAATAAGGCCCCAAACACCGGAAAGCTCTCAACAAAATCAGGAAGGACCCAGCTAGGCATGTCTACGTGTCCTACTGGACTTGTCTAAGGTCACACAAGGAGCTGAATTCCCTGGTATATTCAAGCAGCTTTATGCCACCCTGGTGCTTTCATCCAGAGGTCCAAATGTCCCCTGACGGCTGCCCTCTTTCATTCAGGGGACTGCCTCAGTGCCCAGAGATCCTGGGGTCGAAGAACAGCAAGGGGATCACAGAGCCAGAGTCAGCAGTGCCAAGATCTTTGCCCTGTACTCCGAGAGCCACCTCTTTCTATGAATTATGTAGACTTTGCAAGCAGATAAGAAAAAAAATGCTAGGGAGGACAACGGTGGGTCTGCTCAACCTTGACACTGTCATTCCCCAGATGCACTGAGCATATAGCCTCACACTTGCTGCTGCACAGCAAACATCTGACCTCTGCGTTTGCAATTTTAAATGGCGAACAGCCAGCACGTTGTGGCAGAGGGCAGGTCCCGCAGTTCCCGGTCCTCCAAACACTTAGCTTATTCGCTTGACTTGAAGCGCGTGAATAGTCCTCCTGCATTCCATAGCTCCCCTGCAATCACACTGGCTTCAGTGGGATTGCAACTAAGCCCCTAGGTATGTGCTTGCATGTTCATGACCTAAATTAACATAATTGACTGCTGCATAGTTCGATGGTCCCATATTGGCTCCCCAGCCTGTGAGTGACAGCGCTCATGCTGTCGTGAAGCTACACGGCGTCTTCACCCATAAATCATCCTGACAAGTGAATATATTTAGGCCAGAAATAACCGTCTCACCATCACAAAAAATGAGGTTCCAGAACAGCTCACAACAGTGGAAGCAAAAAAAGCCCATCTATTTTTAGGATGGAGTTTGATACGCTTAGGCAGAGGATGATATGACATGACTGCCTGCAAAAGCAGAGGAGCGAGTCCAACTACATGGGAATCCCAGCAGG